ATTAGGCATCAATGCAAAACCATACATATTTGAACTTTATATTAGGAACGAAAAAAAACCTATGAAGCGAAAACAAAGCCGACAATCTCAGTGCAGACACCAAATGAGGCGAAACTAAAATTGATTTTATGAAAAATTTTGAAAAAGTTTGAAGAGTCTTAAGACTACAATTAAAGAAACTTGCAACTACCACGATACTTGCTTAAAACACAAAAAAGTCCTCGATTTATCAATTACGTCGAAAAACTTGAGCAGATAAACGAAAGTCCGACAAATTAAGTTTTAGCGGAAAAAATGTTCAATTGCATACTTCCTAAAAAAAGTTAGGCCGGAGTTTGAACCCCTGGCCTAAGGGAGCAAATAAGACGGCGTATTTTTGAGGGTAAGTGCAAAGGAACCTAAAGGTTGATCATATTCAGTTATGAAGAAAGATGAAAATTTGTAAATGTTGTTCACGGGGAAAAAATCTAGTTGCCGATTACAAGACATTTGCTTTCGCAAGTTTTATGAAACACTGAAGAGGAATTAAACTGATCAATTGAAAAAAACGGAACGGGTTTTAAGCCAAAACGAATAGCCGACAAAAATATGCGATAGTAGGCCGACAATACCAATTAGGATAGCCGGTTACTGTGCAAGTAGCAGAGAATGTTCGGACCATAGTCTTAAAAAAACTTTTTGTAATGTTCTGGATGCTCTGGGCTAACTAATGCGCGCAGGAAAGACATTCTGTACGATGCTGAAGTACGAAAAACGAATAGCCGACAAAAATATGCGATAGTAAGCCGACAATACCAATTAGGATAGCTGGTTACTGTGCAAGTAGCAGAGACTGTTCGGACCATAGTCTTAAAAACACAAAAGTTTCCAGAGAAAACCGGAATAATTATGTTTGGGGTGGTTTCTTTTTCAGTCAAGTTGCAGCAATTGAAATAAAGATTTAAACTAAAATACTTCACACGCCATTGAAGTTATCTACGTTCATATATAAGAGGATATTTTACTTCGATTCCTTTTTGTAATGTTCTGGATGCTCTGGACTAACTAATGCGCGCAGGGAAGACACTCTGTACGATGCTGAAGTACGAAAAACAAATAGCCGACAAAAATATGCGATAGTTAGCCGGCAATACCAATTAGGACAGCCGGTTGCTGTGCAAGTAGCAGAGAATGTTCGGACCATAGTCTTAAAAAAACGCAAATTTTTTTTTTTCGTATTAGTGTCGTTTTTTTCTGCATGTTGAGCTCAGGCATATTCGAGACTAAAAGTAAAACAGATCAAAATCGACAAGATTTTTTTTCAAATGACAGGAAAAACAAAAAAAATAAAAGTTAATTTTTTTCTAATTTTTTTTCTGATATTTTTGATTTCTAAAATGGCGTTGAACACTTCAAAAACTAATTTCATTTGAGTAAAACTAAAATTAGGCAGAAATAGGCTTTTGTAAGCAGCTTAAATTAAGCAAAACAAGCCTGCTCGCTCGCTCGCGAAATTAGACCAAAAATCAAAAACTATAGACGGGTTTTTCTCTACAAAATCAACTTTTTTGAAGTTTTTAATAATGTTCGAATCACGACCGAAAGTACTTTGTTATGATATATCACTCCACACATTTCAATGATCATTTGTATTACCTGATTCTGGGTGATAAAGAACATAAAAAATAAAAACACCGGAACACAAAATTCCTCCCCATTTTTCGAGTGGTCGAACAATACGCCAAAAACATTAAAGGCCTAAATACATACATAGGCGGAAATAAAGGTCGGGCAGGGATTCAAGTTCCAGACCTGAGCCGGCTGAGCCCATTGCTTTACCAGAACTCTAAAAGAAGAGCTGTTAAAAAATGCACTTATCAACTGCGGAATTCAGGGTAATTTTGTGAAATTCATTGAAATGGCAAAAAATTCGAACGCGATGATGTCCAAATGGACTATAACTAGACATCATTTTCTAAAATACCTTTTGTGTGTGCATTCAAGATAGCGCGTAGTTTTTCATAGGAAATTCAACTACGGAGCGTTTTGTAAGTTGAAAAGATTTCAATCCAAAACTTATTGATGGAAAAATGTCTAAAGGCGTGTTAATGGTGTTTTTTTTAGCCAACACATGAGTTTTTTATATATTTTTTTTATTCCGCATCACCAAGATGATCAAATACTTTGCTTTGGAAAAAAAATGGCTGCTTTGAGTTGTTGCCAAAAATAGTACATAATTCTATGCTACAGCACTTGAATTGCACCTTAGTTTCTCATATATAAAAAAGAAAATTAAGTTTAAAAATAACTTAAATGATATTACACGGACACGATCGTTGCATCTGATTTCTCTGTTTGCTCCGATTTCCAGAGAAAACCGGAATAATTATGTTTGGGGTGGTTTCTTTTTCAGTCAAGTTGCAGCAATTGAAATAAAGATTTAAACTAAAAAACTTCACAGGCCATTGAAGTTATCTACGTTCATATATAAGAGGATATTTTACTTCGATTCCTTTTTGTAAGGTTCTGGATGCTCTGGACTAATTAATGCGCGCAGGGAAGACATTCTGTACGATGCTGAAGTCGTAGGGCGATCGTTTTTTTTGCGTGGCGAACTATCCTGCATCATAAAATCAATCCAAGTTGAATTGAGGCAAGCTAAGTAATCATATTTTTTTCGTATTTCTCAAATTTTTGAACTCAATGTTTGATAATTTATGGTTTCTTAAGTTCTTAAAAAGTTCTCTCCAACAATTATTCGATAGTGACTAAGGGGCAGTCGAAACATTCAAAACTTTTCCGTGATACATCGAACAGTTTTATCAGTTTTTCAGGTTTATACTTTAACAAGCAAAGAAGTTAAAAAGAACTTGAAAAGTGGTATAAATCTTGCTCATTTTCTCACTAAAAGTATGAATCCTGTTTTTTTATTCGTCGTTTCCTTTGAAGCGCAATATATCGACATTGCAATGATTTTAGGTTCAACGAATTTTGGAAATAAAGAGAAGGGTGTTATATGATTAACAATCTTCAGATAGGGTCAGAATAGATTACATACAATTGCAAAAATGGAGCTGATTTAAATTATTTGGACGAAACGCAAAAACAATATTTTCAAAACTCGTTTATGTTGACATGAAAAAGAAAGTTAGGAGTGCAAAACTTATCTAAAATTTAAGCAAAATCAATCAGCTTCAATTTGTTTCGCGACATTCGGAGCCAATAATCTGCCTCAAAACGGATCATTGATGGCTTTTTGTCCGTAAAAAATTACGCGTAAATTACCAGGTCAATTACTGACGAAACTATATCAAAATGATCCTCTTACGTAACGTAATAATTTTTACGAAGCGTATAATCTCCAAATTGTAAAAGAGTCTAAATGGTTTAAATGGTAAACATCACAATTTTTGGTTATCAAACAAAAATAAATTGGTTTTGTTTTACGCAGATTTTTGGAGGGCATACCCTTCTGAAACTTTGTTGGGCTATTAAGACGCTCACTTTGATATAGTTTAGTCACTAATTGATTTGGTAGTTTTAGCGTAATTTTTAATCGAAGAATAAAAAACAACATTAATCCGTTTTTGGGCCCGAATTTCGCGAAACAAATTAACCCTATGACTTTTTGCCAAAATCAACCCAATTTGAAAAAATGCGTTTTAAGTTTCAAGATTTAAGCTTTTCGTCCGGATAATTTAAATCAGCACTGCAAAATTGTCCGAAATGCTCAAAAAGTTCAATCTACTTGACGATTTACTCGGTGGGCGTTTTAGATGATTCGAGGAAGCTTATTCTTTGTTCCATGCGGCTTTAGGGGAAAATTTCCCAGTTAGAATCAATATACCAAAGAAACTTTAGTTAACGGCTGAAACAAATGAACAGAAATTTGGTACCGTTGATTCTCAACTAGATTGGTATTGGAAAGATCTAAAGATCTCTTTAATAAGTTCCTCTTTCTGCAGAAACAAGAAATATATGAACCAGAAAGTTCGACAGCTGTTTTGAAGCATGCATCTGAGTAGTCACAAGAGATCGCTTGACAGCTGAAAATTATCAAATTTTATGATGCATTCAAGACCATACAAGATCAAGCGCTGGTTTGGGGCATAATCGGTAAGAACTGTCAATTTTTACAGCCCTTTATCCTGAGCAATCTAAGTTACGCCTCGAATAGGCAACGAGCAAACATTTTTTGAAAATAAATTAAGATAAAGAGTCTAATTAAGTAATTATGGGAAAAACTACAGCGAACACTTCTGGGTAAAAGATTAGCAAAATTGATACATTTAAAACAGAGGCGAGATTCGCACCACTTGCAATACGGTGCTTCGCCCCGACACCGAGCAAAAAACATGTCGAGAAACACAATAGCATAAATATAATTCTTCATGTGAACATGGAGACCCATTTCCCAAATCGTACATGTTTGTAATCTTCCTTACATTTAAACATCATCTACAGGTCAATTGAATAAAAAAAAGTACGAAACATTTTTCAAAGAATAAAAAAAAATTCATCTAATTAGAACAAAGTTCAGTCTAAACAAAACTAACGTTTATGTTCCACCTCTACAAATTTTTCAATTGAAAAAATTTATATTTAACACGGAGAAAATCGGTGCATGCAAATGATAGCACTTGCAAATATCCTTTCTTCTAATAGGGTCACAATGTCCCCACATCTGTTTTTCCACCTTTCCATGCAATACCACGCATTTAGCCATTATAACATATGGAACTAATATGAAAAAGGAATTTCTGTTTCGACCGCTAAAAAAGAGGACGAACTTTGTCTTCGGGTGTTTTAGTTTTTTTAGTATTCCGCGCAAAATCAAAAAACAAACAATCATCAGAATGGGCAAAGAATTTATCAAGTTAAAACCGTATCAGCCATAATTTTGACTGACATTCAAACAATTCTGAATAGTTTACTGAGTCGAGAAAAGTCGGTTTGAAATTTTTGGTGCAGAAAAAAATTAAGAGAGGAGGTTAATTTTAGTATTCACAAAACATCAGCCAGCTGCTATTTTTGTTCTCATCAATCGATTTTAGACCAACAATCTCATTTAATTTAAATTACCTTAATAACGAAAACAAGATATACTTTAGCACAAATTAACTTGGAATAATGAAAAAGATTAGGTTCAATTTTTTCTGTTATCCCTATATATCAGTCCATACGTGTCCACACTGTGGATTGCAGCAGACATAGTAGAGTCTCATCTCGTCCTCTGCTCGTTTGCTCTGTGCTTGGAAGAAAACTGACTCGCCATTTATACAACATTTCTAAACACAATATAAATATTTTCATCGGACTTGTGCTTCAATATTCATCAAATAAAAACATCGGATTAAGAAAATTCAAAAAAATTAAGGAGAAAATGCAGAGGATTGATTGAAAAGTCAACTGTTTTCCTTCATGAAGATCACCAGAAAAATACAAAATCGAAAAACAGTTACTGAGGAAGAGTTGAAATGGTCGTTGGTCACAATGAGTTGTTTGTAGATTTGGTTTGCAATGATGACTACCATTTCAGATGATAGATATTCTGAAGATTCACAGAAGTTTGTGCGAAAGCGATCATATGAACGTTAATTAAATTCAATATTTTCATTCTAATGGTATCAATGTTATTACCTAGATCTGAATAGGTCCTCAATTTTCTGCTGCTATTATAAAGTTCAATTTTTCAAGGATCGTCCTTAGTTGACAAAACATGCAATGTCTAAACATACATGTTTTTCTTTGCATATGAACAGATATTTCTTTTCCAACATGATATTATGGTTGTGCCTTTATAGGAAAGGAACACTTTTCTCAATATAGTTAACTGTTCAACTTGGAACTCGAGACAATTCTAATCAACCGAAGGTACAACATGCCGAAGTAACAGTTTGCCGACAGCGTGGGATTTAGTTTTTATTGTCATCTGAGGTTATATTATATTTTTGAAACAATTCACAGGAGTGATTAGAGAACAAGCAACTCATTCTAGAAGGTAGTTTAGAACTTCTTACTTTTAACTTTACCAAACCTTTGTTTTATGTAAACAAAACTTAAGCAGCAAAACAGCTAGCTGTGAAAGACAGTATAAAACTTCTTACAAGCAGCAACGCCTAAACGCTTGAAAGGATGCAGCCAATCAAATTAAAGAATATTTCAAATTACGGCAAACTATCACACTTGATGATAATTTCGGAAAACTGCCCTTTCGACACGCTGACATGCCACCGAGCCAAAGCACTGCATTTAAAACGCTATGGCTAAGTTTGGCAGGCAAATCCGAATGCTATTCTTAAATTCAAATCCAAGAAATGGCATTTATTCCAGCAGTATTGATTGGCGACCTCATTTATAGCAACAGCCACGATAATTTCACGTCCTAGCGTCTATCCTTATTTGGCTCTATTTCCTTTTATCGATTCATACTTACTTTAGGACAAGAGTGGTCTTCTGATCGGGGCAGGGTGGGATCTGTAGCCACGTCTGGGTTTATTTGAGTCAGTTCGTCCACTTCGTGTAGGATTTTGTTCACGTAGATACAACTGTTTTCAGCCAGCACTTGATAGGCGCAATTGCGACAGGAATACATGAGCTGCTTCGTTTCCTGAAATTTAGAAATATATATGAGAACCGGCGCGCTTAGCTAATTTGAATTCAAATTCAGATTGCCCGGAGAATTAGTATACCTCAAATACGAACGATCCAATTTTGGACGTAAGAATCAACCCAAACATTTAATATGATTACGTTTCTTTAAATCGACGCAATGCAGTTTTCTCTATTCTGGTTCACAAAGTCACACAAAAAATAAGTTGGACATACTTTGTTTTCCAGAGGGTATAACATGTTATTGCATTCACTGCAGAATCTGATTCCAACAAAGCCTAGCTCGCCTGATGTTTTAAGACCATCCATATCTGAAAATCAAACTAATACTATCGAAGAGTCGAAACAATACGATTGGGATGAAGTAAACACATATCCAACAGACAGTTCGGAAAGTATTAATGAGCTCACGAATGACCTTTCTAGCTCAATTCCCATTTAAATAAAAGAAAGCACTTGGACCTGATCTGCTCTGAGGCCACTATTTTCCCAGACCGACTTTCATTTGAGCTCCACGCCAAAAATAATATCAAAATTAAACTTAAAAACATAGCCAGACAGTTGGGGAAAAAGTCAATAAACGCAAGTAAACAAAAAAAAATTGACTTATTTTATGAAAACATCTCAACTTTCGAAATTAAAAGAAAAATATAGAAATCCTTGAAGTTCTTTGAACTTCTAGAACAATTTGTGACCGACACTTTATTGATTAAATTAACCGAATTTGAGAAAACTGATCAAAAGAAAACTGATCAAAATTAAATTCCACTATCGGAACTAGAAGTCGATCAAGTTTTTGTTACCGTCACACTTTTGGTGTTCGACAGTGGAGCTTGCCTTCCTTTTAACATAGAAAACGAACTGAACTTGAAAAGAAATTAGAAGTCCTGAAAAAAAATATGAGGATCTGAATTACGTTCATCGACAGTTGGAAAAATCGCCAAACGACAGTAGGAAAAGATAAACATAACAAAGACATTAAAAAATTAAAAAGATTAAAAAAGATTTTAAAAATTTATCAAGAAAGCTGAACCATTAGGGAATTTATTAAATGAAAAATCAAAAATGCATATTTTTTCTTGTCACTTTCAGGTCACTTTCTGCACTTGGACCTGATCTGCTCTGAGGCCACTATTTTCCCAGACCGACTTTCATTTGAGCTCCACGCCAAAAATAATATCAAAATTAAACTTAAAAACATAGCCAGACAGTTGGGGAAAAAGTCAATAAACGCAAGTAAACAAAAAAAAATTGACTTATTTTATGAAAACATCTCAACTTTCGAAATTAAAAGAAAAATATAGAAATCCTTGAAGTTCTTTGAACTTCTAGAACAATTTGTGACCGACACTTTATTGATTAAATTAACCGAATTTGAGAAAACTGATCAAAAGAAAACTGATCAAAATGAAATTCCACTCTCGGAACTAGAAGTCGATCAAGTTTTTGTTACCGTCACACTTTTGCTGTTCGACAGTGGAGCTTGCCTTCCTTTTAACAAAGAAAACGAACTGAACTTGAAAAGAAATTAGAAGTCCTGAAAAAAAATATGAGGATCTGAATTACGTTCATCGACAGTTGGAAAAATAACACATATCCAACACAATTTAATTTTGATCAGTTTTCTTTTGATCAGTTTTTTTTATTGATTAAATTAACCGAATTTGAGAAAACTGATCAAAAGAAAACTGATCAAAATTAAATTCCACTCTCGGAACTAGAAGTCGATCAAGTTTTTGTTACCGTCACACTTTTGCTGTTCGACAGTGGAGCTTGCCTTCCTTTTAACAAAGAAAACGAACTGAACTTGAAAAGAAATTAGAAGTCCTGAAAAAAAATATGAGGATCTGAATTACGTTCATCGACAGTTGGAAAAATCGCCAAACGACAGTAGGAAAAGATAAACATAACAAAGACATTAAAAAATTAAAAAGATTAAAAAAGATTTTAAAAAATTTATCAAGAAAGCTGAACCATTAGAGTATTTATTAAATGAAAAATCAAAAATGCATATTTTTTCTTGTCACTTTCACTTTCGTCATCAGAGAGCGTAACTTGCCTTCGTTCAAGAAATCAGTTTGACTTGAACTTAAACAAAACCAAAAACCCAAGTCAAACCACCTCGAAAAACCATATTTGAACGTGAATTTTTTGTCCTGAAAACAAAAACGAACTAAACAAGTGTCCTCAACAGGGATGACTTTGTTACAATTACTGCCGTTAAATGTATGCAAATTATCTAGTATTGTACGTTGAACGAACATAGCAATTATTGTGTATGATGGAATATTAGAACGTTGATGAGCACTTTTCCATGATATTCGAGCGGTTCTGTGAGAAAACCGAGAATATATAATTGGTATAACAAGAAGCAATTCTAAACAAACATTTATTTTTTCAATGAAGTTGATTGAGAATTGATTTAGAAACAAACAATAGGGCCGACAAAAAACAAACAGACAAATGAAAAATCGATCATTCAATTTCTTCAAAAATGCTATAATTTTGAACATACTGGAAAAAACAAGGTCCGACCGGGACTCGACCCCCAGATATTAGTGAATAAAGGCAACCGCGTTATCTCTAGACCAAGTGGAAAAAGAGCCTGGAATTTGTGAAGTTCAAAAAAAGTTAAATTTACATTTGTATCAAACATTTGTCAGAAATTTGGAACATGGGCGAGCCGGCGGCCATTAACAATTGTAAAAAAAAATGATATCAATTCATGGTATGTTATCTGACAAAAATCACTGTCGAAAAAAATTGACAGACAAAATAATCTACTAACATTTCCATGTTTGTCGAGCGAAAATCAATTACACGAAAAAATGCCGAAAGAACATTGCCAGCATCATAACATAGATGAGGCGAAGAAAACTTTAAATTCCACTGTGCAATCCAGGAGTAAGCATAAAAATTATGCTTCCTTTGAAATGACACCAAATAAGGTCACTAATGACACCAAATAAGGTCACTACGCCGATAAAAGATTAGCCGTTATCATTTACGCCGAATAAAGTGTTTCAGCGAAAAGAAAAAATCGCAAAATATACGAAGTCAAGGTTAGTAAAATTAAAATTGCTTGAGCTATTCAAAACACAAAACAACTATATTGAAAATTGCGTGCAAAAAAATCCATTCTATGTGACAACAATTTTCGAAGGAAAAAAATATCAATAAAAACTTGAGTATAAATTCTATTCTGAGATTTTCAACGTTTTGCACGATCCGGAGAAAAACATAGTAATTATGCATCCCCGAACGACCAAATTTGGTTAAAAAATATATACCGAAATCATTTCGGTCAATATATTCGATTAAAAAAATACAAGTAGTCAAGGCCAGAAAAAACAGAAAACGTGAAAACATAGAAAAGCAATTACAATGAAAACATACAAAATAACTACAAAGAAACTTGCATTAAGCAAAAAATCTTATGTGGCAACTAAGCCAAAAAACATAAATAAGCCCGACAATTTTCTTTGAAACGGAATGTTTCCCGTTTGAAAGAAAAACAGGTCTTCTCAGATTCGAACCCAGAACATTTGCCATCCCAGACGTAACCGTTGCCTCCAGACTAAGTAAGCCGGCGACGCTCACAAATTTGAATTGATTATGAACCTAAGACGAAGGGATTCAAGTGATTCTGTTCACCAAGTTAACTCAAAAATGTATATTCGCTTTGATACCGCTAGTCGCAAGCGTAAATGGCTAGAAATAAGGCAAAACTGTTCAGCATATAAAATTGTAACGACTATACAATCACTTCATAAAACGATGACATCTTTCCTTGAATCAAAGCATCTATTCAGATGAAACTCATTTTCACAAAGTGAGATCGTTTTTCATCTTTCAGATCCTCTCGTCTAAAATAAGCGATCTAAGACTTTCGCTATTTAAACTGATTTGAACGTGCCTTCAAAGATGAACAGTGAAATTATGTTAGCCATTTGAATAACATCGCTAACATAACTTAACTTTACTATGTGTTACGTAGAAGCCACGAGGTCAAAAATCAAAAATTGAATAGCGAAAGTAAGAAATTGCTTATTCTCTTCAGACTCTACAGAGAGATTGAAAGAAATTAATTTTTTTGTGGTTCATTAACCAAACCTGCCGATGTTATTAGTGCATCTTAAAATATTCCCTCGAAATCGCCTACAGGTAAAATTCCATCGTCAAAATTTATAGCCGAACTCAAATCAGCAAAATGTTGAAAACACTCGTTCGTTTTCCACGATATTTGAGAAAACTGTTCATGGGTAGTAGTTTTTAAATTCACAAAAAAAACGTGTATTGCACAGCAATTGGTTATTGCGAAACAATAAACAAACCTCATCTATCACACAAGATAACATCACTCATCACCACAGCTTTAAAACCATCAACTTATTGCATCAACTACAGATCAAACTATTGGTTAGAGTCACTAATCAAATGTAAGGTGGATAGAAAAATACGAAGCTCAGACCTTCAGGCTCCAGCAGCGTGAGCCTTTTCAATACTCTTCGGCTTCCTCCTCTTCGCCAACTTCGACCGAATCAACTCCGACCTCTTCGTAGTCCTTTTCCAGAGCAGCCAGATCCTCTCTGGCCTCGGAGAACTCGCCCTCTTCCATTCCCTCTCCGACGTACCAATGGACGAAAGCTCGCTTCGCATACATCAAGTCAAATTTGTGGTCCAGTCGAGCCCAAGCTTCAGCGATAGCAGTGGTGCTGCTTAGCATACAGACTGCTCTTTGCACCTTGGCCAGATCACCTCCGGGTACAACAGTCGGTGGCTGGTAGTTGATTCCAACCTTGAATCCAGTGGGACACCAGTCTACGAACTGGATGCTTCTCTTAGTCTTGATGGTAGCGATAGCAGCATTGACGTCTTTCGGTACAACATCGCCTCTGTACAACAAGCAACAAGCCATGTACTTTCCGTGTCTCGGGTCGCATTTCACCATTTGATTCGCAGGCTCGAAGCACGAGTTAGTTATCTCACCAACTGTCAACTGCTCGTGATACGCCTTTTCAGCCGAGATGACAGGCGCATAAGTTGTCAACGGAAAATGGATTCTTGGGTACGGCACCAAGTTCGTCTGAAACTCAGTTAAGTCGACGTTTAAAGCTCCATCAAAGCGAAGAGAAGCAGTGACTGATGACACAATTTGTCCAATGAGTCGGTTTAAGTTCGTGTATGATGGTCGATCCACGCCCAAATTTCGACGACATATGTCGTAAATTGCCTCGTTGTCAACCATGAAAGCACAATCCGAGTGCTCCAGAGTAGTGTGAGTTGTCAAAATTGAGTTGTAGGGCTCAACAACAGCAGAGGAGATCTGCGGCGCGGGATACACAGCGAACTCCAGTTTTGACTTTTTGCCGTAATCAACAGACAAGCGCTCCATTAGCAAGGAAGTGAAGCCCGATCCAGTGCCTCCACCGAAAGAGTGGAAAATCAGAAATCCTTGGAGGCCAGTGCACTGGTCAGCCAGCTTTCGGATTCGATCTAGAACTTGGTCAATCATTTCCTTGCCAACGGTGTAGTGTCCTCTAGCGTAATTGTTAGCCGCGTCTTCCTTTCCTGTTATCATTTGCTCCGGGTGAAACAACTGCCTGTACGTCCCGGTTCGAACCTCGTCGACAACAGTTTCTTCCAAGTCAACAAACACTGCCCTTGGTACATATTTTCCAGCTCCAGTTTCACTGAAAAACGTTGTGAATGAATCTTCGCCGCCTCCCACTGTCTTTTCGCTCGGCATCTGTCCGTCGGGTTGGATTCCATGTTCCAAGCAGTACAGCTCCCAGCAGGCATTTCCCATCTGCACACCAGCTTGACCAACATGGACTGAGATACATTCACGCATGATGATTATTCAAGAAGTTTGATGAATTCGGAAGAATAAAAGAGAAGCAGCAAGCGGCTCTGAAAGGGAAGGTCAGATCTCCAATAAATTCTGACAATTGACTTGATTTACAAAACTTACTGGTTAACAATTAGAAGCAAAGAATTATACTGCAGAAATTTGACCTACTTGACAAACTTCGAGTGATGGCCTTGCGAAGACCGGTTTACATAGATTAAAAAATGCAGAATAAAGAACAGACAAAATTATTTCAGAACAGCAAATATTGACAACATATGGTGCATGCAAATTTCTGAAGACCTTGAGCTTCTATCTGTCTTGTTGAATGAGTGTTGAAAAAAGTTGGAAAAGACAAAACTAATTGAAAAGGTATGACTTATTTCAGACAAAAACGATGTCTCAAGGTCAGCTAAAAAAGAACATAGCCTCCAAAAATTACTCTAAAATTAATTGCAAAAAGTTGGGAAACAGACGGAAATAAATGAAAAGAGCAATCTGTCAGTTTAGAGACACATTTCTATGCAATATTGAACTTTTAGTTGACCTTGAGACTCACTTTCCGTCTGAAAGATCAGCGTTTGCATGCAAAAATTGTCTAAATAGATTACTTGCTCTTTTTAATTAATAATGTCTGTTCCAACTTTTTGCGAATCTCTATATATAGAAAGTTGCAAAAAGTTCGGACAGACAGAAATAATTAAAAAGAGCAATCTGCCAATTTTGAGCAATTTTTTCATGCAAATTTGAAAATTTAGGCGACACTGAGACATATTTTTTGTCTGAAAAATTAACTTTTGCATGCAAAAATTGTCTGAAAAAAGTCATTTGCTCTTTTTAATTATTTTTGTCTGTCCGAACTTTTGGCTACTAATTATATTGGCAAATTGCTCTTAAACAATTCGCTGTCTGTTCCAACTTTTTGCAACTTTCTATAAAATGGCAAATTGCTCTTAATCAATTCTGTCTGTTCCAACTTTTTTGCAATTGATTTTCCAAAACTTGGGCTGACACATGCTTTTAAAACTAACGAATGCTTTTATGTTGACGAATCTGACCAAAGTTAAGTTGTCGATATTGCAAAACAATCGGATGCACGAAACTAACCATAGAAAGTAAATAACCATTTTAAAAAATTTTGCATGCAAATGCTTGTTTTTCAAGGCAGAATTATAGCGAATTGCATGCTTTTGTCGGTCAAAAAACGGTGCGTATGTGTCATTCAGTTTTATGTTACTGTTTTTACGCTCAAAAAGAGTAAAAAGTGAAAGTGAGCGTTTTACGCCAAGAAACTTTGTTCAGATTCGAGCAAAACAGATGATATTTATGAGGCAATTCTCCAAAATATATCAGCAAAATTTTTTTTCAACTTAACTGCTCCATTGAAAATTAGGAGGAAATTTGTATTCGGGAATTTTTTGTTTACCACACTTTTTTGTTTCCGCGAAAAATCAGGAACCACAAATAATCATCGATATGTGTCGAGTGTTTCAAAATCAGGAACCAATGCAATTAAAGCATTGGTTCCTGATTTTTCAAATGGAGCAAATGCTTTAATTGCTAGCTTCCTAAACAAACGTATTCAAAGAGTAAACGTCAATGGAATTTTTTCAGACTGGATTGAAATAAAACGAGGTGTCCCACAAGGAACGGTACTTGGTCCGTTGTTGTTCAATATTTATGTTAATGACATACAAGAGCGATTATATGAGGGTTGTACTTTAGTTCAATATGCTGACGACTGTATGGTTTTTTCCTCTTCTATAATTTCTGAGGATGCTTTGAATCGATTGCAAAAATCACTCAATAATCTAACGGAATTTTTTGCAGAGAACCAATTGAATCTGAATGCATCTAAATCGGAATTTATAACATTTTGTCAAGAAAATGATAGCAAAAATGTGGATACTGATAAACTAGTAATTAGTGGGCATTATGTAGCCAAAAAATCAGAATGCAAATATTTAGGCATAATTCTTGATTCAAGTTTATCTTTTCATGCTCAAATCAAAACAATTCTCCAAAAAATGGCCCAAGGGATTAAAACTATTGATACAATTGGACAACAACTGCCGACATTATCATTAGTTGCCTTGCTTCATTGTCTTGTTTTATCACATTTAGATTATTCAGCAATTTTTTTACAACAAATTAATGCTACTTTGATGCTATCTCTGGAGAAACAGTTGAACTGGGCGCTAAAAAGAACATATTTCAGATCGAATTTTAAATCTTCTTCCCTTCTTCGCATTAGCAAATCGTTCATTGGAATCGAGAAAAGAATTGAGTTAAAGTGTATAACATACTTATACCAATATCTTACAAACAAAAAGAAGGCTTTTGAAAATACACTGAGACTACCGACTGCCAATTATAGGCTCAACGAAAGAACGAAACAAATTATTTTTGACAAACATTGTTCGACTGCTTCTCTACAAAAATCATTTTTTCATTTGACTTCTAAAAAATGGAATTCACTGCCCATAATTTTGCGCAATTTAGAAAAATCGAAAACAGAATTCAAGAAAAAATTGAAAGAATTTTACGTGAGTGAATTGAGAAACAATCCTATATGTACTAATACAAATACGTGGCGTGATTACCGTTTTTGCTAGTTCTATATTTTTTAATTCAGTTTAATTTTTCACACATTGCTTGAAAGAGAAACTGTATATACTCTGCATATACGTTGTATAATTGGACTATCTGTAAAATTGTTTGTAAAGTTTTATTACCAGCTTGTTCCTAATTCTTAAATCTTTAATTTTCTATAGTATCCGAAACTTCATATACTTTAATCAACCAATTTCCGAACTGTAACCGATTTTGTTTTTTTTTTTTTTTTTTTTTTTTTTTTGTTCTGTTTATTGCTTGTTTTCTGATGTTTTGTTTTTGTTTGATGTAACCAATGAATTTATAACCAATTTTATTATTTACACTTTGCTACACTGATGCCTCGGCTTTTTATTGTATAGTAATTCAAGTGTTCTTTCTTCTTCTTCGTGTTATATAAGAAATGAAAGCAATTTAAGCTGTGATTCGAAGGGCATTAAAATTCAAAAAAATGTACCAGTGTCGAGAACCTCTATTTGAAAATTAATAGTTATAGTTCAATTTCGAACGAGTAAAGGTCAATATTTTTAAGGCTTTTGGGCTGGAACAACTTGACTCTAATAAATAGAAAACGCTTTTGGTAGCTCTTCCTTCGCAATAAAAATTTTCTAAACAAAATTCAAAACAGAGGCGAAGCGGAGCTTCGCATCACTTGCAATACAGCACAAAAATAGCAGAGCTTCGCAATCACTTGCATCACTTGCGGAGCTTCGCATTCGGATTCGTTGAGCGAAAAAGATGATGGCAACTATGAATTTTGTGATGTATTGCAAGAAAACTGCACAAAGACGAATACAAATTTATACACGAAATTTGCATAAAGAAGCATTCAAATATCAGGAAACGCTGAAGAACTCCAATTATCAGCAAAAAATTTTAAACGTAGCGCAAAAGCTTCTGTCCGCTTATGTTCGGATGCACCGGTTGCGCGCTCCAACAGCCACGCAGGCAATGAAGCGATAAGTTCTCATGTTGTACATGTGACAAGGTCCTACATCTATCCCCTGAATGCACTATGTTCACACTATGTCAAAGTCCTCATCAAACTGAATGATAACCTCCTCCACATCTGCAATGACTGCAAACCCAAACGTGACGATCTTGTCAAAAACAAAACTACAACAAGTAACAAACTTGACGAACAACTTGATAACCTGCAACTACAAATGAAGGTTCTCACCGAAAAAATGGAGCAATCCAGCACTGTCATCACTCAAGTACAAGCCGATATGAAAACACTTAAAGAAAAACCCAACAATTTCCGAGCAGCCGTGGGAAACGTAAACTCAGGAAGAGTGGTTAATTCGCCAACTGTTCCAAAAGCTCAACTTGGTATCCGAATACGAGGTGTTCCCGAAAGCAAAGAAAAAAGCGACATTGAACGAATGCAAGAAGATCTGGGGACAATCGATAGAATACTTGCATTCCTCCAAATTGACGACCGAAAATTATCCAAGGCAACTCGTATTGGAAAATTCAATCCCGATTAGGGGCCTCGTACCCTGCTGTTCAACACCGAGAGTAGCATAAGTAAAAATTTGATCCTAAAATCGACTTCCAAACTAAAAGACTTCTCGGAACTTCGGGTCTTCATCAGTCCCGAGTTACTCAAGGCAGATGCCAAAAAGGAAAACAATTGTCTCAAGAAAAGGAGGGAACTGATAGTAAAAAATCACGACCCGAGCAAGATAAAAATCAGAAATCTTAAACTAGAATTGAAAGAAAACGAAAAATGGATTGTTTATGAAGAAAGTAAAACTTCCCAGGAAACCGATAATAATGCAGACCAAGCTGGTGATGCTGCCATTACCGGATGACTAAGACCGATGAAAATGTTGACAATCAACACCAGAAGTATCCTGGATATAAAAAGGAGAATGAAATTGTCAAACGCAATAGCAAACTCAGAATACGATATTATCTGTCTCTGTGAAACATGGCTCACAAAAGACGTAACAACTGCCTCGCTCTTCCTAGAGAACTATCAAGTATATTGCAATGACCGAGAAACATCAGATAACAGAAAAACAGAGCACGGTGGTGTACTCATTGCCATCAAAAATGAAATCTCACATGACTTACATTCCATTGAGAGTCTCAAGTCTGATTATCTCATCATAGAAAAACATTCCAATAAAAGATCAATTATCTTAAGCTGTGTTTATAATGCACCCACTCCTAGCACCTACCAATGGTCCACTGAAAGTTTCTTAACTTTGATGAATGAAATGGCAAATCTCAAACTAGCCAACAAAAATGACCTCTGTGACTTAATACTCACCGGTGACATCAACTTCTCACAAACATACTGGGAAGCACTCTCCTGATCTGACATATACGAGAGTCAACTACTGGACGAATTAGTTGAACTAAATCTTTCACAACATGCACCAACTCAACTAGACGTGCTGCTTTGCGACAATCCAGAATTAATTTCACAATGTCAAATCGACAGGAATATTCGAGATAAGCTAACTAGTCAGTTCTCTGACCACAAACCACTCTACACCACAATTGCCGCCTGTAGCTGCATTAACC